ACAAATTCTCACGTTTGTCTATCTTGTCACTGTCCAACCTCTGAGCATCATTCCCAGTGAAGTGGGTGCCCTCCACCCCACCCTTGGCCCATTCATGACATTTTTTGGTGGCTTCATCAGCATAGATTGTAGTCTTGCTCAGTGGGTTCTTCTTAATGGCTTCTTGGCTGCGAAGAGCAGACTTGTCTTTCAGGACGGACCTGTCCTTCAAGGGGTGGCCTTTTTGAATGCTAGGCGCTTGGGGCTTGCTGGTGTTGGACACATCCCGCAGGGCCTTCCTTGCTGATGGCTTTGCTGATGGTTTCAGTGGCCTCGCGTTCAGCCCATCAGTCCTCTTGCCTGCACACCAGGAACACGCTTACAACAGGGAACTTCCATACCATGAATTAGTTTCGAGCGAAAGAAGGCTCACCTCTATGGATTGGCAGGTTCTCATCAAGGAATACAGCAGCTGGAGCTGGGAAAGCCATGGCCGAACAGAAGCCTTTCTTCTTGTACCTCGAAAGCCTGGATGGAGTTAAACGCTGCTGCGCAAAGGGAAATCAATCAGACGACAGAAGCAATACACAACGAGTTCCCAACGCTATTGTGCTGTAAAGAAACTTGCAATCAGCATATGGTTTATTTATTTTTAACATCGGACCACGTTGTTTTGTGAAGGCAACCAAGATTCCGCTCACAGATATGAATCAAGGACTTCCCTATCCTATTGTATGGTGTAGAAATTGCAGCTTACACATCAGACCACGTTGTTTCGAAAAGGCAAACCCAGATCTCACATATATTTTAGGTTAACAGCAATCCCGCTGTGGAATATGCAACGCGTGTTCAGAAAGACCACGCTTGGCGTGTCCAAGAAAACAGATCAGAAGACATAAGCGTCGATGCTCATAACCCTGCCCGAGAAGAAGAAGAAGAAGAATACGCGAACCAGATGGATGGACAGGGCGGATTTAGATGGTGGTGCGCCCCGGAAATCGCGAAGGTCGGTGGGATCTCAGTAATCGCTGGATGAGAACAGCCTCGTACATACCTCAATCAAAACCCTATGGCCAAAGGCCGCGGAACGGAGGCGGAGGCAGCAGGAACGCGGTGTCCCGACGGGGAAAGAACGCGAACGGCGACGCGCGGGAGGTAGGAGAGATTTAGAGCCTAGGTCAGGACGCGAGAGGAAGAGGGGGGAGAAGGAGGAGTACCTCGCCGGAGACGCTGGGGAGTTGTTCTTCTTGGCTTGTCCGTGTTCTTGCCTTGTTCGGGGATGGATTGGAGCCAAATGAATTGGGGAAAACTTAGGTAGGGTCTGCGGGAGCGGCGCGGTGGGAAGGAAGAGGGAAAAAGGCGAGGAGCGCAACGGTCGGATTTCGCTGGGCGGTGCGGGAAACTGCCATTGGGCCACGCCCGGTTATTAGGGTTTTCATTTGTTGTGGCCCGGCCCGAGACGGATAGAGCCCTGGGGATAGGGATGTAAAACTCGCGCTTTGTACGGTTATAATTCGAATTTGTCCAAACAAAAATCAGAATTGATAAATGATAAATATACGACATCAGTTTTTTAGACTCTCAACCCGAACGCCCTATGTACCGTCTAATGCACTCACCAATCTTGATGCGTGAATCCCGTGAAACGTCAGCTGCATCAAGTGTTCTCTCTCACGTGATCGGGAGTGAACGCGAGCGACCACGTGTCCATTCAGTCCTTCTCCTTTCTTCTACTCTCCCACCCACTTTCAGTCTACTTTGATCCTTGGGCGTTTAAGTGTGGGTCAACCGCGAACACGAGCTCGGTGTTGGAGATGCTCTTCAACACTAGTCTCCTTTTTCAGGGAATTTAAAGAGTTCATATTCTTCGCTTGTAGAGAAGAGCAAAAAGCATTCCGAGGAATTCGCACATTTGGTTTGCTTTTATCCTTGGCTCGTTTAAGCTTTCTACAACTCTCACATCACACAACAGGTTTTTTTTAAGATTGTTTTTGATTATCCAGATTTTCTAAGGAACGAAGTTTTTCTGTTGGTTTTCGTCTTGTTTCCTTGGAAGTTTTTTTTTCGTGTTTTTCTTTTCTTTTAGTTTAAACTAAATAAAGACTTTTGTTGATACATGAATATTTTTAAAACTTGTTGACATTTTTCAAATTCATCATTATTTTTAAATTTATTCGAGCTTTTAAAATTTTGAATATTTTTGAATTTTATGGATAGTTCTTTAAGTTCATAAAAATAATATTCGTGATCATCTTTTTAAATCCACGAACATATTTTCCATTTTAATGTATAAAATACCGCGTATCCGAATTTCTCTATGGAGACTGAGAAATCATTTTTTGTAAGTGGTTTACCTCAGCAACAAGACAGTGGTGGATGAGCCACGCGACAGTATCGAGTCTAGTCTATGCGTGCTATTTTGGCTGCTCCCGAAATTTTACACATCATCAAGTTTGTGGACACCTCCTATTTTGCGCATAACACGTGAAAAAAAAGAGGAAACACACACTTGAGCGTTGCACGATGCGTGTTGGGATTCTTTCGCTGGCCCATCGTTTGTTCTTTTCCTTTGATGGACGGTTTCTACTTTGTGTACATACGAATGTCTTACATGTTTCCTCGCCATGGATGCCTCCTCCTCGTCCCGACGAGATGATGTAGTGAAGACAGTGTTCATTCCCATAAACGTTGGAGTGATTTTGAAGATCCCGCTATGCACCAAGAGGGTAGATGATTTTTGGGCTTGGGGTGAAGACAGTCGTGGTGCCTTTTCAGTTCAGTCAGTCTATCGAACGATTTTGCATACTAAGTTGAACAGAAAAGCTGGCTGAAATGGCGACATGGATCATCATGATCAAGAAAATAACAGTTGGACTTCTTTACAGAAGATCCGTGTGCCAAGCAAAATCAGGGTGTTCTTGTGGCGTTTGGCGCAACACTCCATACCAACCAGCGAGCTCCTTCACCATCACAGTACGGCCACCATGTTGGTATTACGTCTTTGTGGATCTGAAGATACTTGGAGTCTTGCATTCCTGATTCTTCCATGGTCAGTAGCCCTTTGGCTTTTTCTCCCGCAGGTTTAGTTGAACACATGTGCCCTAATTAGGATCTAGTGCAAAAAACTGGATCTTCACGCTACACGATTCTATACCACATGATGAGTTCATCAATGGTGGTGACACTTTGGCTGTTTAGCATGTTGAGAAAGGCGATACACGGGGTTATATTCCAAAGCCCGTTATCGACTCATTGTTTCATAATTTCTTTTATGTCTGAGATACATATTTTGCAGAAACCTGCCTCAACAAGCACTAGATCAGCCCCTCCACGATCAAACCATTGGTTGGGTCCACCTGATGGAATATGCAAAATAAATGTTGATGCATCACTGACAAGGAACAAATCGATTGGAGCCGTTGGAGCAGTATGCAAGGACCACCTTGGAGGATTTTGGGGGCATCTTTTATAGTTTTTGTGTGGATAGAGGATCCAATAGCTTTGGAAGCTCTAGCGCAAGGAAAGCTTTGGCACTAGATGACGATCTATATGTTTATTGGATCCATGTCAAGCAAGGAAGTACAACAAGTTATGGTGCAATTATCCAATAAATCGTTGTCGTTCTAGAGTCTTTGCTAGGTATAATTTCATACATGAATTTAGAAGCCCGAATGCTGAGTCTCAAAATTTAGCGAGGCATGGTTTATCTTGGGGGTTGGCCACCATATTTGGTCAGGTCATGTCGGATCCCTTACATTCATTGCTGTAAACATTGTGACAATTTAATAATGCTTTGTGAGATTGTCTAAAAAAAGCTTACATGTTATCCTCCTCCTTTTTGCCCTTTTTTAAATTTCGTAGAAAAAGTAGAAAATTAGGTTTTATTTTCAAAAAGTATTTAAATGTGAAATATTATATTTTTAAAAAGTTCTTTTTTGAAGGAAAAAGTACATGGATTTAGAAAGCATTCACGATTTTTAAAAAATGTTCATGAATTTTATTATTTTTATTAAAAAGCAAGATTTAAATGTTCACGAATTTGAAAAGATGTTCATAAATTCGAAAAATTTGTTGTGAATTCAAAACATATATATAATGAAACTAAAACATGTTTGCTAATTCAAAAAATCACAAATTTGAATATGTACGTTTGAACTAATTTTTTTTCTTGAATTTGAAAACACCCGCAAATTTTAAAAATTATCTAAATTTAAGAAATTTTTATGAGTTCAAAAATAATAATGGATTTGATAAAATATTCAAAAATTAAAAAATATCTCTGAATTCAAAAATCCTACAAAAATTCATAAAAATGTATGATATTTTTTAATTTAAAATTATGTTTCCTATTTTGAAGGATGTCTGCAACTTCAACCAATTAACGAATTTGAAAAAATATTTGTGATTTTCAAATATGTTTGCATACAAATATGCTAATGGTTTTGGGAAATATTCACAAATTCAAAAACATTTGCAATCTTAACTATTTTGTTTCAAAGTGTTCAAAATATTCACGAATGTAAAAATAGAAAATAGTAGAAAATCAGAAAGAAATACGGGGAAATCAATAATAAAAAGGAAAAAAGATAAAAAATGGAAACCTGTCCATTTTTTTAGGGGAAGGAAACCTGTCCTTTTTTTTTGAGGGGAAGGAAACCCTGTCCAGGGAAAGTTATAGGACTAGGACCTTCCCGAAAACGAAACCGATGGGAGCCGACGCAGCACTGGCCCAACGAGCGGGTCCAAAACGCGAAGTGGTGAACTAAAAATGCTTTTCTAAAAAAACAAAAACTAAAAATGCTTTGGGCCGAGCAATGCTTCATCCAGCCCATTAAGCGTCCTGACCCACGACGGTTAGCCTCTCGCCCCACGACTCCGGCCGAGAGCGAGTTCTGTTAGCCTCAAAAAAAAAAAGAGAGCGAGTTCTGCCTCCCACCGACCGCCGTCTCTCCTCCCCCCACCCCGCGTCCAAAACCCTAGAAACCTCAGGGAAAGGAGGGCGCGTGTCTGGGTGTGCGGTAATGGAGAAGCTGGATGAGAGCAAGTTCGAGCAGCAGCTGCAGCTCTGGGCGCTCCGCATCCCCCGGGAGCTCGCCTCCGCCGTCACTCGCCTGCTCCGCTCCGGGTAACACCCGCCGCTCACCTCTATGATTTAATGGTCCCAGTTGCAGGATAGCACAACATCTTGATGGTTCCAACTTCCAAGTGGCCGTCGTGTTTAACAGCGGTAGGGGCATCGGAGTAGTAGCGCAGCGCTGAATTTTCTTGCCCCCCTGCTTCCAGGCCCCTACTGGACATGCCGCGGGTCAAGCCTGTAGTTGAGGACCCTGGGAGTGACAAGAACAGACTTGTGGTGCTGTCGGAGAAGATCCAGAACCAAGGTATGCCTTAACCTCTCCCTGGAACGAAGCAGATTTTTAAACTTGTGAGGTGCTTGTCTGTTGTTTTTGAGAACTATAAAAATGACACTAAACCTGCTTCTGTGAATTGACCAAGAACTTCTAGTTACCGTCAAAGCTTGAATACCATAGCAAGAATTTAGAGTTGTTAAACCTGTTTAGCAAGGCCGTCTCCTGGAAATCGGGGCCCCGGTGCGAAAAACAAAATGGGGCCCAATATAACTCAAGCATAATCACTTAATTATACAATTTAAATGTAAGTTATTTAGTACAATGTTTAGAAAATTCTCAAGTAGCAATGCAAAAGATTAAAACCAGTAAACTGACCTCATGCTCTACTGAAAAGTGCCATCTGTCCTGCGTTCCTTGAAATGATATCTTCAATTATGTCTTTATAATTAATGTTCTCCAAGACATAAGTGCTATTGTCGCCAAACCATTGAGTCTTTCCTGTGTCATAGTAGAATTCAACAACTTGAGTTTAAAAAAGCTCCTTTGCGCAGATGCAACAGTTACAGGAATTGTTAACAAAATCCTGCAATAATAGCATTAGGATTGAAGGGGCGCTTCATCAACAACTAAGAATATCAACAGGGCCCATAGATTTCTTAACTGAATCCTGGATGAAAACAAATATGCAAAACAATTCAAGTCCATCAATGTCTTTATGTTCTCCACTCTTCTTCTAATTTCTGTTTCTTCTTACGCTTGAAGGCACCATAATCATACTTTCCTAGAATGCATGATTGTTTGTTTTTGAACCAAACAAAAATAGTATGAATGCATTTGAACTGATGAACTCACATCAGTTACAGGCTTGTGACTTGTATAGATAGTTAGAATCAGATTGATCCTTGATTTTGTACTTGGACGACAGGGCGAGCTACTATTGAAAATCTTGAATCTGTGAGACTGACAACTTCTGAACTTCAACAACTAGGCAATTTTTTTAAAAAAAAATATTAGTAAGATCTTAATTAAACTTTGCAGTTTGTATCAAAATTAGAGAAAAGGGGAGGAGCTTAGGGGCGCCGGTTGGCCTTCTATTCGGCGGCACCGCAGCAGTGTCGGCGGGCGCTCGCAAGTCCCGTGCAGTTCCGCTTCCGCCGGTCGCCTGGCTGCAAAGCAATCGCCGCCGATTCAGTCGAAGTGAAAAGATTGATCGCACAGGGGTGAGATGGAAAGCGAAGAGATTATTTAGGAAATAAGGAACGGCAGATTTCACGGAATGTACGTACACGCAATGCGCTGGTGCTGCCGTTTCGTCTATGATCACCTGGATCGATCCAAGCGATGATGGGCAGCGTTTGGCTCGAGGCCTTTGAGCGGACCAGGCCCAAGGAGGCCGAAACACACAGAGACTACTTTCGGCCTAAAACTGAAAATTTTCATACTATGCATACACGTATATGGACCCTAATTGGGGGCCCCTGGATTTTGGGGGCCTTGTGCGAACGCACACCTCGCACATGGCCTTCAACGGCCCTGCTGTTTAGTCGCTTATGTCTCCATTCCTATTGCTGCACTCTGTTGTGCTTGTTCGGTTCTATTGTTGTCAAACGAGAAAACTTAAGGACGTGTTTGGTTCCAGATTTGTAACACAAACGTAAACGCAATGAGTTTACACTGTTAACGTAAACGTAATGGGCAAAAATCGAAATATGTTTGGTTACCTACTGTAACAGCAATAAATACCGGAGTTTGCCGTGTATCAACTCATCTGCTGGACAGCTCGATTAAAAAAACTCATCTGCTGGAGGTGGCAGTGAAGTAGTGCCATACAGAGTACGTTAGTGGCGACGATGTGGTGGCCATACAGAGTTGGGCGATATGGCTGAAGGCCGAGCTGAGGCGCATCATGTCATCATCGAAGAGGGGCGACACGCGGCCGCCGCCATCGGCATCGGTCCACCACCGGCTGGACAGGAGCATGACCGTCTGCCTCCTGTGGAGCCTCCAGTTCCTGAACCAGAGGGCGGTGATGCATGGCTGTCCAGAGGCGAGAATCGGTTTGAGTGTCTAGATGCCGACGGCCTGATCCTTCGGTCGCGCTTTGGCCATGGTGACATTGCTCGTGTAGTCGTGTGTGAGACGAGAATATTGACAGGAGATGGTTGTGGCCCGTAATGTTTTCTGTTACCGAGGATTTCTGGTGGAATCAGATTTGCATTGGGCTGGAAATTGATACCATGTTATTAGATTACAGAGCAATAATAGAACCAAACATGATTTCACGGTATCTCTTAACGCTGTAATCAGATTACGTTGCAGAAGCAGTGACCAATCACGTCCTAAATGTTTTAACATTTCTCTTCTTTTATGCTTCCATCAAAGAATCTTATGTCCATTACATCTGGTATATGTAGATTTGTCCGACATTCCGGAGCAGGTTCACAATTCCTTGAAGCAACTGTGCAGTGTTGATGTTGTACCTTACATGTTGACTCTTGGTTATTCTTACTGGAGTGCTGGTAAGTTTCTCTTCTGTTCTACGTCATCTGATTCCTATAATTTTGTTGTGGTATGCTCCTTGGTCGTGATCTATTGTGTTCCTGTATGTCATTCTTCTAAAAGTGCAGATGGTAAATTAGTTTCCTTAATTGAAATCAAGCACTTTTTGAACATTCTGGCTTGCTCATCGGGAATCAGGAATACTGCTAATAACCCCCGCTCTTTATGGTTTAGGATTTCATCTTGCAAGAGTTAATTTTAATCAGTAAATGTGCTTCATGTCCTTGGTTAGATGCTTATCTTTTTTATTTTATGCAGATCATATTCTGAAGCAAATATTGCCTGAAGGAGTAGAGGTGCCCTCTTCTTTTGAAACAATTGTTAAGTACACTAAACCTCATGATGCTTCCTTTCTGTTGTTTCATTTTTTGTTTGATGTTGTTACTAATAGTGCTTTGTATGAATTTTGCAGGTCATGTTGCTCACTTAAACATACCTGATGACTTGCTAGCATACAAAGATGTCATAGCAAAGGTTATCTATGATGTAAGGCTGCTTGTCCTATTTTTATTCCCGAGTAACACACTCTTATACTAATTCCTACACAATCAGGGACAGTTAAGTTGGAGCAAAGTGATTGTTCATGTACATGAACTACAGCTTGAATTTACCTCTGAATGTATAAGGACAACACATCTCTAGTAGCACTACTCGTAAAGTCGTAAAAAAAAGGGCAGCCCGGTGCATGTAGCTCCTGCTTGCGCAGGGTCCGGGGAAGGGTCCGATCACTTTGGGTCTATTGTACGCAGCCTTTCCCTACATTTCTGCAAGAGGCTGTTTCCAGGACTTAACCCGTGACCTCATGGTCACAAGGCAGCAGCTTTACCATTGCGCCAAGGCTCCCCTTCTCGTAAAGTCGTAATGTGCAAAAAATATATAAAAAAATAACCTGCATTCTGTTGCATTTACATACTTTATTACTTCATATATGATATATCACAAAGTGGAAGGTCCTGCTCATACTTTACTTTTACCTTTACTGCTCCTAAATGCTTACTCATTTTCAGCATATACTTCATAGAAGTGCAAGGTCCTGCCCATACTTTCACTTTAACCTTTATAGGGGGCAACCTGGTGCATGTAGCTCCCGCTTGCGCAGGGTCCAGGGAAGGGTCCGACCACTTTGGGTCTATAGTACGCAGCCTTTCCCTACATTTCTGTAAGAGGCTGTTTCCAGGACTTGAACCCATGACCTCATGGTCACAAGGCAGCATACTGCTCTTAAATGTTTACTCATTTTCAGCATATGAGGCGAGGATCCAACTTTCACGTGATAATTATCACCAGACTTGTAAAGCAGTAGGCACTGTAAAAACACTGTAATGAACATGTGGTCATCTAGAATTATTCAGAACATTCTAGAATAGTCTGCCTACTTCTATTATTCAGCTAACATTTTCTGTTGTGCTTATATGTAGAAAAATCATCCAAGGATTCAAACAGTGGTGAATAAAGTTGGGGCAATTTCAAATGAATTTAGAGTTCCAAAGTTTGAGATTCTAGCAGGGAAAAAGGATATGGTGACTGAAGTTAAACAGTATGGTGCTACGTTTAGACTCGACTATGGTTTAGTCTACTGGAATTCGAGACTTGAGCACGAACACATCAGATTGGTTTCCCTTTTCAAGAAAGGAGATGTTATCTGTGACATGTTTGCTGGTATTGGCCCATTTTCTATCCCAGCCGGACAGAAAGGATGTGTTGTATATGCAAATGATTTAAATCCAGACAGTGTTCATTATCTGAAGACAAATGCAAAGATTAACAAGGTGGAGGATTATATCTTCACATATAACATGGATGCTAGAGTATTCATGCAAAGTTTATTGGCAGTACCTGATCCAGAAACTAAGTCCGAGTGTCAATTTGCTGCTGCTAATCGTTGTTCTGAAGAAATGGTTTCTGGTAATGAACATTCTACATCAAATGGAAATCATGGTACTTTCAACACCTCCTCCTCCCCCCACCTCCCCTGTAGTTTATGGTGATTTTTTTGCTCAACTCACAGTAAGGCTACTGTATAATAGATGTACAAGAGGTCTCGCAGGAGAGTTTGGATGGCTCCTCCATGGTAAGCACTAGTGCCAAAAGGCGTCAAGAAAGCTCTAACGAAGGTAACTTCATTGTATGTAATGTCTGTAAGAACCTTGCTAGAAGTCTCAAAGTGTTTATAGGCTGGTAGTTTATGTTAACGAAACTGCCGTATGAGTGAGGTCAGCAGCTTGATAAGCATGACAAGTTTAGCTATTATGTTTCTTGTGGTAGAGTTACACTGTTATGCTTCCTATAGGTGATGTTGCCTGCCAAGAAGATGCCAATCAAACAAAAAAGAGGAACAATAAGAAAGTAAAAAGCTCTGGGCCACTACCTGCCAGGCCTTGGGAGCACATTGACCATGTAATAATGAATCTCCCTGCTTCCGCACTGCAGTTTCTCGGTAATGTTCTGTCTTGTAAACTTTTTCATAGCATTTCTGCACAGCACGATTTGTTTCGTATGCATTAATCACTTCTGCTCAAAACTTAAATTAGATCACCTCTTATATGAACTTTACCCCCCTGCCTTTTGAATTCCAACGCCATAACCGTACATTGTGAATATGGTTGTGATAAAACTGGCTCCCTACGTAGGCATAACATATCTTCCGCACTGCAGTTTCTCGGTAATATTCTGTCTTGTAAGCTTTTTCATAGCATTTCTGCACAGCACGATTTGTTTCGTATGCATTAATCACTTCTGCTCAAAACTTATATTATATCACCTCTCTTATATGGACTTTACCCCCCTGCCTTTTGAATTCCAACGCCATAACCATACATTGTGAATATGGTTGTGATAAAACTGGCTCCCTACATAAGCATAACATATCTGCTTCTGGTAAATCCCCCCCACCCCCAATAGGATTTCCCTTCTGTGTAAAATACCTTTGGTGCTGCCTGTAAGTAACAAACATGTAGTTGTTCTATTGTTAATATTTGGTGTAACCATTTCATATTATTTAACAGTTACAGGCACACAGTTGCTGTATGTTTTTGTTTCATTATTTTGTATATATATTCTGCAGATTGTTTTGATGGTCTTGTTCAAAAGAGATACTGGAAAGGGTCATTACCTTGGATCCACTGTTATTGTTTCATCCGTTCGAGTGAATCTGAAGAATTGATATTATGTGTAAGTCTCTATCCTCGTTGGTTATTTCTCAGTAAATGATAAATGTTCCATTTGATCATACCATAGGCCCATACCACACAACAGTATTGACAGTTTCCATAAGCTCATATCTGTGTTACGAGGTGTCTGCGTTTCTTTTGACAGCTCTTTCCCTCTTTGCAGGAAGCACAAAACAAACTGAATGCCAAGATAGCAGAACCAATATTCCATAGGGTTCGTGATGTTGCACCTAACAAGGTAGATTATCTAGTAAAAGATTCATACTAGTTGTCTGCAAAATTTTGTGCGTGCTTTGTTTTGTTTTGTTGATCTTAGCACATGCATTTTCCGCTCTTCCCTTTCTCCGGATTTAAGCAGACTGTAAGACCCAGACCAAAATTGCTTATCGGCAATGGTCTTTAAACAGTATGATATTTATTTCTGTGACGAATGGAATACAAGGATAGGAAAAGATGAGCTTTATTTAGACATGAAGCATGGATCGTTTATTCCAAAATCATCTGTGCGATTGTATCTTTTTGGCCACCAGTACTAGTTTTGCTACTTCACGTTGATTAATGGACACATGGTAAACCTTGCCTGAATTTGTTGTGATGTTTGATTTTTGTTGCAGGCTATGTTTTGCTTAAGTTTTAGGTTACCCGTGGAATGTCTTAAGGAGGAAACTGAAGACCACATTCTATCAGTTGACGGTTAGCCTTCTTCCATACGTTGCTTCTGAAGCTACGGCTGTTTCCTGGTACTTGAAGTCTTCCTAGTAATCTTGGAGCTATGCAGTGCAATCTGAACTGAATCACCGTTCCATGATGAAGGGGAATTAATAGGATGTTTGTCAGATTTAACCTGGGAGGTTTCTTGTCCGGGGCTGAAATTTAGCACTGACTTGAGTTCTGCTTACATGAGCAAACGGTGAAGTGTTTGTTAGGTGGTTTTGTAAGGCTTCACGTAAGTACAGAGAGAGAAAGAGATTGGTTTCCAGATTTTTTACCATGTGATTGAATCGTGATGAAATCCGAAATATTAGCAGTTTGAAAATTATCTGTTTCATATCTGCAATGTTGGTCACGCTAGCAATACAATGGTAACGCTGACCGCAAAAAAATAAAATATGCGAGGCTGTGTCTTGTTTGGGTAACTACGTCAGTTTATTTCTTGATAGCTAAACCACGGCAATTCAAACTGCGTGGAGCATTAAAAGATACCAAAACCCCTCAAGTTAACAGTCCCGGCTTAGGGCGGACCCTCAAAACGCTTGCAAACGTCTGGCCGTGCTTTATATCTTTCCCTAATCTTTACCTCTTTACCTATATATATATATATATATATATATATATATATATATATATACTAATAAAGTGGCTATCGCTTCTGCCCGTCCGTCATTAAAACCGCCCCTAAAGTTGCAAAAAATTACCCACCAATGCCACCGTTAATTGAGAAAAACGTTTGGTTTTTTTCTTTTTTTTTTGTCCGCGCTAGCCCATTACTTAAAAAGTGTAGATCCCCTCATGAACAACAACTCTATGACCAGCGCATTGGTTGGTTCCTTGGCCTAGCTCGCTGGAGGTCGTGGGTTTGATTCCCACATCCTCCCTTTTTCTTTTAATTTCTTTCAAAGATAAAATATTTTTGAAAATTTCATATCTTTAAAACCCTTACTCAATGTGACATGTCATATATGAAAATTCATCAGAAAAATGTGTAGATTCCAAATATGCCATTATCATTAATTTTTAAAATTATGTTCAGGGTGCAAACTTAAATAATACCTTCTTTATATGATGAGATATTTTAGAAATGCCTATTGCATATGTCCTTTATAGATTGGTTGTTTTTGGTGGAGCTATCCAATATATTTGCAACCAAATTAAGTAACTGAATTATAATTGCAAACACACACAAAATACGTAGATTTCAAATATGCTATCATCATTAAATCTAACTTGGTGCTAGATGCATTCATTTGAGGGATAAGTTTGGGACAAGCTTTTTCGGATGGAGGGAGTATATTGTCGTGGTTCTAAGTCTGACAGTAGAGTGGGGGTAGGTATGGAGAGGCAAGGTCCTAGCTATGGAGAGGTTGTAAACACAAGAGATGTACGAGTTCAGGCCCTTCTCGAAGGAAGTAAAAGCCCTACGTCTCGGAGCCCGGAGGCGGTCGAGTGGATTATGTGTATATGAATTACAGGGTGCCGAACCCTTCTACCTGTGGAGGGGGGTGGCTTATATAGAGTGCGCCAGGACCCCAGCCAGCCCACGTAGGAGAGGGTTTAAGGTGCGTTAAGTCCGGGGCGTTACTGGTAACGCTCCACATAAAGTGTCTTTACTATCATAAAGTCTACTTAATTACAGACCGTTGCAGTGCAGAGTGCCTCTTGACCTTCTGGTGGTCGAGTGAGTCTTCGTGGTCGAGTCCTTCAAGTCAGTCGAGTGAGTCCCTCGTAGGTCGACTGGAAGGTGATCTCTTCTAAGGATGTCCCTGGGCAGGGTACTTAGATCAGGTCTGTGACCCTACCCTAGGTGCATGACTCCATCATTAGCCCCCGAATGGATTGAGGCTTGAGTGATGAAGGAGTTGATGTTGTTTCCGATTAGCCTTCGCATGCTAGTCGTGCGTTGCTTTGAACCAAAAAATCTCTTTGTTGATAGCGAGCAACTTTTCTTCAGTCGACTCGATCCATTCTTTTTCTTTGTCGAGTGATCTTTTGGACTTCGCTGATTTCCGAGCGACGGATCGCAGGGAATCCCGCGTCTGGCAGACTGATCTGCCGTTCGCGGATTCCGCGGGATACGGAATTTGGGGGAGCGCGCGAAGCGGAGCGGTCCGCGGCGCTCGGACGGGACGGGGCATAGACGCCTCGATCCCCGCGCCGCTTTTTTCGCCACGTATCACGCTCGCGCAACTGTTTCAGGATATGATTAGATCGACCGGGCCCACCTGTCATCCACTCGGAAGGGATCTTATAAATGCGCCCGGCGAGGGTTTTTTGAACAGTGCCTCAGCATTCTCCCTCTGCTCCCTTCGTCTCCGCCCAACGCGCTCGCTCTCGCCTCTGCACAACCTCTCCTCGTGCGCTTCGCCGGCAGCCATGGTCAAGGAGAAGACGGCGGCGCTGGAACGCGCGAAGAAGGCGTCGGCGACGGAGAAGGCGAAGGGGAGATCCACCAGCCGCGGCGGGTCTTCGTCTAGATCTCGCCTGCCGAAAGGCTGGGTCCAGGGAGATTGGATCCAGTCGACCATCACGGAGAAGGATCTCCTCGACATGGCCAACGAGGGCCTGATCCCTCATGGAGCTGCGAGGCTTCCGGGGAAAGAGTGGCAGCCCCAGCCAGAAGAGGGTGAGTGCGTGCTTCTGGCTACCCATGTCGACCGCGGATTCTCTTTGCCGCCGAGCATTTTCTTTCGTGGTTTCTTGAACTTCTTTGGAGCGCAACTCCACCACTTCACCCCGAATTCTATCGCCTATCTTGCCGCGTTTGTGTCCATGTGTGAGAGTTTTCTGGGTTGTCGACCGCATTGGGGCTTGTTCAAGCACATATTCACGTGTCACTCTCAGACCGTGAAGAAGGCGAGCCCAGGCGACGAAAAAACCCGAGTTGTCCAAATGTGTGGGGGTCTGGGGATCCAGGTGAGGAGCAAGAGCACCTTCCCAGCCATGACATTTCCCGAGTCAGTCAGAGGCTGGCAGTCGACCTGGTTCTACTGCCAGGATCAGTCGACGCCGGGGCAGTCGAGTGGACTCCCTCAGTTCACCATGGACCGAGTGAACAAGCCCTCCTCTCTGAAGGTGATTCCGGAGGAGAAAGCTGACGTGAAGATGCTGATGGAGCGTGTAGTTCAGTTGGTTCGGGATGGAGTGACGGGTATGGATCTCCTGGAGGTTTTCCTTAGGCGTCGTATCCAGCCTCTTCAGTTCCGGAGCCATTGCATGTGGTTGTACTGCGGGACTGAGGATGTGACTCGGGTCAATCCAGAAACAGTCGACGATGCCACTCTGGAAAGGTGGATGGCCGCTGTTACTGGGAACAAGGATAACCCTCGCGAAGCCAGAAGGATTCCTCCACTCGACTGCCACAGTGATCCAAACAAGGTATGTCTGCTCCACTTCCCATTGTATTCTCGTCATATTTATTTCTGTTTTCTCTGCCGATCGGTCGACTGATCTTTGTCTGGATGTCTATCAGGCCCTCACTGAGCTGTACTCGATGCCCAACGGAGCACAGGCTCCGACTGAGGAGGGAGAAGCGAGCGGAGGCGAGAGCCAGGAGGAGGAGTGGGACTCGGACGCCGCTGAGGATGATGATGATGATGATGATGACACTGATGACGACGATGATGACGTTGGTGAGGACGAGGAAGAGGAGGAGGAGGAGGTTGCACCACCGCGCTCGGAAAGGCGGTCGAAGCTTGTCCATGACCCCGCGACTGAACGTGGCAAGGGGGTTGCGACTGTCACACAGTCGACCAAGCGCCCTCGAACCACCTCTCCGGCGCCGACTGAAAAGGCGTCGAAGTAGCCCAGGGCGGCCCCGTCAAAGCCGACCAAGCACCTGCCGAAGATGAAGGTGTCCATCCCCACCATATCAGGGTAATCATGTTGCTTAAGTCTTCTTGTTTTGTGTGAACTTTATCTCTGGTTGGCGCTGGAGTTAGTCGACTGATCCTTTGGAGTTGCAGTGCCGCTACTTCTGAGACCTCAGCCCGGGCTGACGAACATGAGATGGAGGACGCAGCAACCTCAAAACCTGGTACTATACTCTTCACCCCGTTTCTAGTCGACTGACTCATGATCTCTAATTCTGATTCTTTTCTGTAGCTCCATCCAATGTTGTTATCACTCTCCCTGATGATGATGAATACGAGGAACCACTAAAGCACAGAATGAGAAGGAAAGCGTCTGCCAGCAGGGTGCCCCAGGATGTGACGGTGCCTGAGACTCTGGCCGCGGAGGAGGAGAACACCACTCGACACACTGTGTCCTTCGCAGATCTGCTGACGAGTGCTCCGCAGCCCTCCCTCTTCACGACGCACCACGTCCCAGAGGACCAAGCTAGCGCCGCGAAGGAGGCAATACGCCAGGCAGGGATCATGATGGAGCAGTTGAAGACCATCCGGGATGCGAGCCAAGCAGCTTACGACGCCAGTTCCGCCCTTCAAAGGAATGTTCAGGTCAGTCGACCATCACTTGATCTGTTAGGATATGCTATCAAAAAACTTTTCTTTCCAGAATTTATAGTAGTCACCCAGTGGGTGTGTCGATTTAAACTCCGTGTTAGCGGGGGCACGCTGAGTGCACCCGCTGGGTGTAGTCCTCAAGACTAAGGTCGACTGCTGGCAGTCGGCCTTAGGCTTTATAATTTCAGTCTCTCCGTCATTCGACTACGGCGAATGGATTTTGCAAACCAGTGGGGGCACGCTGAGTGCACCCACTGGGTGTAGTCCCCGAGACTGTGGTCGACTGCTGGCAGTCGGTTACAGTCTTAAAGAATCCATCTTGTTTTTTTTGAGGTCGACTGGTCGACTCTGTCTTCAATAGGATTAGTGGGGGCATGCTGAGTGCACCCAGTGGGTGTAGTCCCCAAGGCTAAGGTCGACTGCTGGCAGTCGGCCTTAGGCTTTATAATTTCAGTCTTTCCGTCATTCGACGACGGCGACTGGATTTCGCAAACCGGTCGACTGGTCGACTCTGTCTTCAA